CCTCCTTCTTGAGGCATACTCGCCTCTCGGAAGCAGCAAGCAGGTCGGAAAGACACTTTCCCTCCCAGTGGTACGCCTAGCCTCCCTTTCCTTTCCTCTGCACACCAGTTAATACGTTCCTGGACAGGTAACGTCCATCGCGAAAGAGCTCGGTATAACCCCTGCACAAGTCATTATCTCTTGGCACGTCCAACGCGGTGTAAGTGACATTTCGTTCTAAGCATCTTGACTTCGTTCGTCTAACGACAAATGCTACAACAGACTGTGGTGCTCCCGAAGAGCGTCACGCCGTCCCGCGTTGTGCAGAATTTCCAAAGTGCGTCGTCCCTTGAGTTGGGGCAAAACATGTATTCTAATACGTCCTTGTATCAGTCTCTGCCCTCCCAGCCGATGCCGTTGCGAAGCTTGAGGAAGCGGCTGCGGCGCATCCCCCGGAGCGCCAGGTGAACCCGAGCGAGAGCTGGGGAATCGGCTTTGATGTGTTCAGCGATTGGGACTGAGGTGTTGTGCTTTTAAATTTGGTGTAACGGACGGAAGACTATAGGGCAGATAAGAGTAAAGACTGTGTATGGGATGAGTACAGAATAAATCTCCTCCATGTTTCGAGATGTTTCGAGGAGCATGCCATTCAATTCTGAACTCCGCGAGTTCTTGACATTATACTTCTCATCCTACTTCCACGACATCGTCTTCGACTCGCTCAGCCTCGTCAGCGTCTCCTTCATCCTGGACGTACATACCTTGATTCTACACTGATCACGCAAGGTCCTTGCTGTGCTGGGTAGGTATTTTCGCCTCGCTGTAAGGTCTTTTCGCAGACGCCGGACTCGATTATTTAATCGGGATGACATCATTCATTAACCTCTAGGAGCCGTGGCACCATTTCTCTCTTCAAAAGGTCCTGCAGTCCAGCTGAATCCACTGTCCTTTGCTTTGCGTTTACTCTCACAGCAATTACTTCAACTTGGCGAAAATGACTTCAACAGCAAACGGAGTAGCCTCTGCGCTTCCGGAACTTGCCCCGGCTGATGCTCTTCCTCCTACACCACCTACAATCGCCCCCGTTGCGAAACGCGCTCGCACCGCGTACGGTACCATCCTCTCGCGCTCCTTGCCTAAGTACACTGGCCCTCATGAGGTCGGTGTATGTGACGTCGAGCTTCCGGTTGAGCGGCAAACGTTTGGGTCGTTCAAGCACAAGACGATGCCCAATGCGCAGGCGGGCCTCACACTTGACACTGTCATGTTCTCCCTGTTTTACCCCGCAGAGCCTACACCTGGTTCGGGCTCCGGACGTGTGGTTTGGTTCCCAAAGTACGTCCCTCAAATCTTTCCTTGATAACTCTGCATACTCATCGTCAACAGCCTGCGCCAGACGATCGACGGCTTCCTTAAAATGGCGCGCCGAACACCGAATTTTTGGTACAAAACCTTGGCCTGTACGACTCCTCATCTCTTAGCCCCACCCCTTCCCTCCCACTACTAACACACGTCAACTCGCAGACCCCGTTGCAGCAGCAGCCATCTGGGGCACCACCTTCCCCGCGCACGCGAACGCGCCTCTGAAGAAGGCCCCCGACGCCAAGTGGCCGCTCGTGGTGTTCAGCCACGGCGTCGGCTGCTCGCGCTTGATGTACTCGACGTTCTGCGGCCAACTCGCATCGCGCGGGTACGTCGTCGCGGCCGTGGAGCACCGCGACGGCACGGGGCCTTCGTCGACTATCACCACGGCCGACGGCGCCACGCGGACGCTGGACTGGCTGCAGTGGTCCGATCTTGAGTGAGTCGTTCTCGCGCGGAAGTAATGAGTGGTAAAAATTTGACCCTGGGGTGCAGGTGGCCGGACCTCGAAGCGCAGCCGCCAGACGATACGATCCTGCGGCACGAGCAACTCAACTTCCGTCTCGCCGAAGTCGACGCGGTGCTCGAAGCGTTGCGCAGTATCACCGCTGGCCGGCCCGTCACCCTTACACGCGCGTTGACGGCACCGGATTTTGACTGGACGGCGTGGAGGGCGGTGGATTGTGCGCGCCCGATCATGACGGGGCATTCGCTTGGCGGGAGTCTCGGGGTACGTTGTTGCGCTGTGACTGGGGAGGACATGTGCTGATGAGCCTGTAGCTTGCAGCGCTGGCGGATGGCCGATTTGACTTTAGCCATGTCGTTGTGTTCGATCCTGCCATGCAGCGTCAGTTTTCCTTTAGACATGCGTCTCTTATCCGGATGGTATTAATTAACACTTTTTATGCGCCATAGGACTTGACCCGTGGATAGAACGTCTGAACCTTGGCATCGACCCGCCTCTCCTTGTCATTAACTCGGAAGAATTCGCGGTGTCGCCCGATTTCGGGAGGTTGATGGGGACTGTGCGCACTGCGAGCGATGCGGCCGTGTACAGCATCGGTATGTCTTCTATCTTCTTGCACGCCTTTCATCTTGTCTGCGCGTCCTTCCTGCCTGCTGCCTACCAAGTTATCCTTTACCGCAACACATTTCTAACCAACCCTTTCTCCACCCAGCCGGTTCCACGCACCCCGCCTTCTCCGACGTCTTCGTGATTCTACCTCAGCGCATCACCCGCATGACCGGGCTCAAGCTTGACCCTACCTCGATGCTCGACAAGACCATCGACGCGGTCGGGCGATTCTTGGGCCGCGGCGGCGAGAAGAAAGCGCAGGGTAAGCAGGTACGGGTGGTGGACGGCGCGCGGTTGGTCGATGATGGTGAGCCTGAAGGGAAATTGAAGAAACCGATAGGTACACCTGGGGAGATGCTGGAACATGTGAGGACGATACCGAAGGCAGATTTGGATTGAGGGGCGGGAATTGACTTTGGACAACGAATTGTTTCTGACATGTTGGACGATTTATTGCGCATGTACTATCTTGTATCCATAGAACTTGTAAACTAAGTACGATGCGGAAGGCGACCGCGAACGGTGTCGGTGAACATGCACGGTCTGAACTCCGCGAGCGTGTCTTCATCTCCCGCCGCGCTTTGGCGTCGTTCGCGGGTCGCTGTTTCCCTCCCAACCTCCTCCTGCTGTTTGATTTTCGGGGTGTCTGCAAATCGATAGGAACAGGACCCTGCTGGCAGTTCGGCCCTACAACTCGTTTTTGTGACGCGCAGGAAACACGCTTGGAGCACGAACACACGTGTATCTGGACACGCTGCGTGCACGTCCTTAGCCGCGATCTTATAATCTTTCTCGCCTGCGGGCTTCACTTTCCTTCACTTTCCCTTGTCTATCCTCTCTACAATGGTCTTCGGCCTGTTTACACGCAAATCGCAACCAAATCTCAAAGAGCAGGTGGCAACAGAAGCAGCAGCAGCAGCGGAGAGTCAGCTGCGCACACCGTCGCCCTCAGTGCCGTCGGTCGACTTATCGCCATCGCATCCGCAGGATTCGCCTGCGCCCCCTCCCCCAGCGTCGCCCTCACCTGCGCCGCCGCCGAGTGTCGATCCAGACGCGCTGCACAGGCATCTGCTCTCCATTCCCCCGAAGACGCTGCACACCTACACGCTATCTAATCTACATACCGCACCCCAGGCCACCCTGCACGCGCTCTCCACTTTCTTCGCTACGCTGACCCCGCCACCGCGCCTGCACTGTGTGCGCTGCCACAAAGACTACTATGAGGTCGAGAACGACGAGAAGAGCTGCACCGTGCAGCATGACGACGATAGCGCGGAGGTGGAGCGGGTAGGGCTGGGCGGAGGTGTGGTGTCGAAGTTTACCGCGTACGAGACGATGTGGGGATGTTGTGGAAAGACTGTTGAGGGCGACGGGGACATGGGCCCGCCGGACGGGTGGTGTTATGAAGGGAAACACACGGTACGCGAACGCCTTCATCCTCTTTACCTTCGTGCCCATTGCCCACGCCCTGACTTTCCTAAATTTTTGTACAATAAAAATGGCGTTCTAACATGAGATGTGACTGCAGACAGACTCAAAGCGGGCACGCTTCCGTGCAGACTCGACAATGACGGACGACAAACTGACCTCATGCACCGTCCTCCGCTGCCCGCACACGCGATTACTTTCTCCCTCTGGAGGCGTTTCCTCCGTCGTATCCACTTCGCCACCCGCATCCACATCCAGGCGCGCAAAACGCGCACGCCCACCCAGCATGTACGTCGACCTCGCCACCGACGACGAAGACGATGATGAAGAAGGCGCGCGCGGACGCGCCGCAAAGCCGAAAAAGAGACGGGGGAGCGCGGGGAGCGTAGCCGCAAGTACATCCGGGAAGGCAAAGGCAAAGGGCAAGGCGAAAGCGCGCGCCGCCGACGAGGACGACGCGATGTCCGTCGACGACAACGCGTCAGCCTCTCTCCGGGCCTCGTCGCCGGCGAAAACGAAACCCGCACCCAAGCCGCGGTCGCGCGCGAAGACCAAAGCGGACACTGCGGACGCGGGCACAAAGGCAAAGCCGCGCGCGAAGTCTCGTGCGAGGTCGGCGGCGCCGCAGTCGCGCGCGAAAAAGCCGAAGGTGCGGAGCGGGAGCGTGGCGGACAGCGATACCGTGAGTGTGCGCGGGAAAGATTGAAGTCTTCGCTTGTGGTAGGTACACGTCTACTGTCTGTCGCTGCCGGATGTCCTTTGATTGACGGTACCTCCGCATTCTAGCAACATCTCGCTCCTCCATAGCAGGCCTCCTCGGTACTCAGCTGCTCATTTCTTGTCCTCCTTCGACCCATCTATCTTATCTGTTACATTGCTACTTATATCTGACACTCCTTCCCCCTACATATTAATCTCGAATGTCTTTTTTTGTGTCCCATCTGTGCCACTGTGCCAGACATATATTAGATGCCTGAATATATATTCACGGGTGCATACCCTCTACGTATACAGTACTAGTATCGCACAGAGTGCACAGAGCGAGTAAGATGACCATGAAGGTCTGTCTCTGAAAGTACCTGCGCCGCCGCCCAAGCCGCCGCCTTGTAACTAAGTAAGACTGATTTTAGGAAGCTTATATCCCCTTGCTCATATCGGCCGCCTGGCGAAATGGCATCGCGTCTGACTACGATCTGATATCAGAGTTCCGTCATCAGGAGATTGCAGGTTCGACCCCTGCGGTGGTCATTTTGATACTTTTTGCAACATATAGCCAACATAGGCATGTGCGGCCAAAAGGTTCTCATGGCCTTTTGCTCACATAGAAAAGGCTTCATCGTACACGCGAACAATAACAGCGAGCAAGCCAATATTTAATAGCGAATATGATACATGCCACCAGGTGAAGCGCAACGAAGCCTCGAGCACTGGCCTCTTTTTATACCCCAACGCCAGGCTCGATTTCGCCCAGCAGCATTGTCCCATCCTTGCTTCCTGTAAGAACTAGGAACACGTCAATCAAAGATGGTCTTGACTGAGCAGAAAAGCTGTACTCACTGACTGGTTCCTGTGGGTGGAAATCTACGGCTGTGACCGTCCCTTTGTGCCCCGGGAGCTGCATAGACCAGAAGCGTGAGCAAACATTTGGAGAGAGGGAACGAGATGAAGCACCTTATAAAGGATCCTGCCACTTTCCACATCCCAGATGCATACCATGCGGTCGGCACCGCCCACCGCGACACGGTTACCACCGTCGTCTTTACTCCACGCGCCACGAAGAAGGGTGTTCTCGAACCCAGCGGGTGCTCCCTGAAGCACACGGTGGATGCGCGACGGCGACGGCGAGAACGGCCGAACGTCGTAGATGATGACCTGGGACGAGAACGACGGGGAGAGGAGGTATGACCCCGAAGGAGACAGCGAGAGAGAAGTCGGTGTGTCGGTGTGCCCCGTGAGCGTGTAGACTTGCTCTTGTTTCCGTAGGTCGTAGACCTGAGCAATGTTAGAACGAGGTGAAGATGCGAGAAAAGACACGGCATACGTGTATCTCATTGTCCAGTGCCCCGGCGTACAGCGTCGCCCCATCCTTGCTCCATGCCACACAAGTGACCGGACAGCCGACCTCAAACACGGCAACCGCCTCCTTCCCGGCATCCTCGCCCCCCTCCCACACTTTCACCGTCCCATCGTCAGAGCCGGTCGCAATAAGCTCCACCCCTGCGCCGCCTGCGAGTGTCCGGTCGAGGGCATTTATGATGCCGCGGTGGGCGCGAATCTTCCGCGTGCGCTGGCCGGTAGTGACGTCTATCGTGCTCAGCGTGTGGTCTGCGGACACTATGTAGATTGAGGGCTCGAGGAGAGACCATTGTAAATCAAGGATGGGCGCCTTCGCGATGTTGGAGAGAAGACCGTAGTTCGTGTTTGGGGGATATGTTCTCCATAACGCTTGAGTGCGTGTCAATAGAGTATACAACAGGGTGTAGAAAATGTGGAAACTCACAGACACTCCGGTCGGCTGAGCATGCCGCGATATTTTGGCCCGTAGGGTCGAATCTACAACTCATTATTTCCGCCTTTACACCGACCCGGAAAGTCAGTACCGCATCCCTAGCGGATGAATTAATGACGCACGGAATGGGCACCAGATAGGCTGACAATGGGCGCATCAAGACTACTGGTACGTTTTACCGTACGTATAAGTCCCTTCTGCCGCTCGTCATTCGAGGAAGATATGGCAATCTGGTTGGATGGGGGCTCGTTGGAACGCGCGCGTTTCACGAGGGTGCCTTCGGAGGGTGGTGCGGCGCGTTTCGACATTTTTTGTGGTGCAACTTCGGTATATCACGACCGTTAGAGGTGGACCGTGTTGATAGTAGGTACTCCGTGGGCAACAAGGTAAAGCGAGAGAAATCGAGCGGACAGACTCCACCAATTTCGATTTTTGGTGTTTGGGTGGACTAGCGAGGGCCGCGAGAAACATGCACAAACAACCGCTCGATATAACTTTCACGGCCGTAACGGGTTAAAATGACCTCGATCTAAGATTCGCGTATTGCACCACTATAAGTTGGAGTTGGAGAAAAACGTCTGGCGCCTCCTGTCGTATATATTTTATATATGTAAACAAACTAAGAAGAAATTTAAACCGTTATAACCATTATTAGTATCATCCTGGTCACCCCCGATCGCCCTGAGCCTTGCGTATGTGACAGGTCGGCATCTACGAGGAAGGCGCAGGCGGACTGCAATAATGAACGGTGTTAGACAACATTTGATGAAGATATGTGTGTGCACGTACACTTTGCTGATAGAGTAGGACGGGCCTGAAGCCGGAGTCAGAGTTAAGAAACCGGGAAATGGGGTTACAACTTACCGGGTTGAACCGTGAGAGAGGGCATAGCAACAGCGGAGCACTGGTAATAAATGGAAAATTTAGCACGTCGCATTTTCGGGAATTGGTTATCCGCGCACCGCATGATCCATATCGGCCATCGATTTTCCAGCTGGGATATACGGCGTGAACTTGGCAGCCTTCGGGTGGGGAATGACCTCGGAGCAGTCAACCAGATCTTCGGGGTTGTGTCCAAGCACCGCAAGCTTGCGCATCGCCTTCTCAAATTTCCTGTTCATGGACCCTGCATCGGCTGAATCGGCGTTGTCAGAACGGCGTCAGGATCGAAAAAACTGTGAGTGACATACTGATCATAGATTGCCATTCGCACGCAGTTCTGCATAGTCTTCAGCCTTATAACGTACAGTGCGGTGATTGCACTTTACATACCGTGGGTCGCGAGACAGCTCGAAGTCGGACTGAAGCCTAAATTCGCCTTCGTATGGGGCCTTCACCTCTCCGGGGTGCGTGCTGTTGCCGGGATATTGGTCTCCCTTCATCATCACCTTGATCGTGATGATCAGGTGAGCGAACCAAATCAATCTCGACTGTCATACCGACGTACCTCGACGAAGAACTGGGGGTCAAATTTAGAGAATGTCGAGTCGAATGGGGTCGACTGCACAGCAGAACGAGCGTAAGCAAGGGGCACAATGCGGTAACCAAAGGTAGCGCTTACGTGCACAGATGGGTCCACTTTGTCCTGTGCAGCGACGCTATGGGACGCCAGCAAATCTACAATTTCGCTAGGGCTGAACCCTGCGTCGCCCATACGGTCGAGGATTTTCGTAACAGAGTCACTCGGCTCAGGAACCATGAATTCAGGCGACGGCTGGGATTCGTTTGCGCGTCCAGCGAGGAACTGCAGGCGTGGTCCACCTTCGCAGTTCGACACCGCAACAGCGCCGGCGAATTGAATGCTACCAAGACGTAAGACTGCGGTAGAACAAACGAAAAATACGACGGCTCACAAATCTCCGAAGGATACATTGTGCTTGAGCGCAAAGGGACGCTGAGCTTCAACAATCTCGTCGACGCCCTGGTTCACGTCTGATGGGCCCAGGGGAGTACATTAGCGATCTGTTCATTCCGTGGCGGAGTGGCCGATCACTTACGGAAGTTGGTCTCAATTTCCGAATGCGCCATGATCGACCCGTCTACGAATGCGAGTCAAAGGAAGTCTAGATGCGGTACACTGTCTTTCCTTACCAGCTCCGCCACCCCTGAGAAGTGATGCCGGTTAGAAAATGCAATTTGACCCGCGTATTGTCCAACGTACCCGAATTTTCCTTCTTTCCACAATTTCGGGGAGTACGCAATTGCGTCGTGGAAAGTTAGCTTTACGCGGAAAATTAGCATAGATCTATTTGATCGGCGAAGAGCCTTACGCGTAGAGACTAAGGAGAACTATGAGCGTCTAGCATTTACATATAGAGAGAACAGAACATGCGTACCTCGTGCGCGTTTTCCCCTAGTCACGGATCAGATGTTAGCGACTTTGTCTTTGGTTCTTGCCAGTTCAATTGGTGAGATATTCACCGCACTCGTTGGATAGCCTACGGACAATGGCTATCAGCTATCATTTTGCCAATCGACCAGAGTGGACTCACAAATTAGGCTGTATATCATCTAGGACATCGAACCACTTGCAGCATCTGGCATCGTGAGCAGTGCGACCCTTGCTGCACGATGCCCTCTTGGAGGGTACTGCCGCAGCGAGGCCGGCAAGGAGCGAAAGGCTGACGCAGGTGAGTAACATGATAGAGAGATTATAAAATGAAGAGGGGAGTTATGATTGCAAGACAGATGGATGGCGTGCATTTTATACTAGAGAGCGAGTGGGACAGGAGATGCGGACGTGTGAGTCTGGCGGTGATTTCTTTGGAGAAGGAGTAATTTGGTGGATCCTGGTATTCTAACTGAAGCTCCATCTCCTAGTGGCAGATGGCATATCCGGGATAGGTTTGTTAATAGTTGCAGACAGTCGGACCGGTGGGAGCCAGAATGTACATCTTGTTTAATGGGTTGAACGTCGAATACACGGTCGGTAGTAACAGGAATTTTCCCTGCGGTACCGGGACCGATTTAATCAAAGTTGACTAGTGTTTCAGCGTGCAAACCGGGTACTTACTAGTTCTATCAATACTACAAGGTACCTAAGAATGTTTCAAGTTGAAGTCGATTGGATTTAGGCTCGTGTACACACCGCCGACAGGGTGAAACCGTCTATCGAGGGCAATGTGCACTACTACCAATGTCACGGTAAGGTTATATATAACAAATACAGTCAGGAAACCGGGAATTGTTAGAGGAAATGTGCCGGAATGTCCTACTCACTTCGATATATTTTTTGAACGCGGTTGTGTAGAACGAAGAGATGCGGCCTATTCGGATGCAAATGTACCGAGCCCCGACACGCGACGCGTTCCGTTCCATCGCAGTTCTCCTCAACCTGTTCCTCGGACCTCGACTTCGCTGATTATTCTCTAGCCAGACTCGATATTTGCTTGACTTGAGCTGCATTTTGGCAACGAAATACGGCGTCAAGTCATCCAGAAAGAGCGCTGACAGAATAGGCAGCTTCCAGGTCGTTGACAGGCGCTTCGGATTGCGGCGATATCCGATCCTCGTACTTGCAGCGCGTTTATTTCCTTTATTCTGAACTTCAACACTCACCACAGATCAGTATGGCGGACGAGGTACAGATGGATGAGCCCCAAGCATTCCAAAAGTTTCCTCCGTTTCCCTCCCCGCCGCCCGGTGTTACCATCATCCCTTTCAAGGACTTTAAACCGCGCGGCATACAGATCAATATGAACTCGTCTGAAAACGCGGTCGAAATCGACGCGTTGGGCAT